TGAGGGCCTACTAGGTGCTAGGTGCTGTTCCAGATACAGTGACACTTCCAGTCCTGGAGGAGCTTACGGGCCAGGTGGGAGGGGAAGCAGACCAGCAACTCCAGTCGTGCAGCCCAGAGTGGTGGGAGCTGTGACAGCAGCAGGCGCACATGCGGTGGGCTCCCACAGGGCAGTGCTACAGTCAGCAAGGGGACCAATTCCTGGATAAAGTGACAGAAATGGGAGTGGCCACAGACGGCAGGTGCAAAGGCAGCAAAATAGAAATGCCGCTATATTTGGGGCTGTCAGAATTTAGACAGCCAGAACACAGGGTTAATACGAGAGTGGGAAAAGACAGGGCCAGAGGGAACGTTAACACGTGCCACTCTGAACCTTTCACCAAGTCAGGGATCCCTCTCCTTTTCAGAGACTCTTGTGCGGTACATATCTACTGCCATACTGCCATGGAAGCTTGCACCTGTATGCCCAGTCAGGAAGCCCCAACAGAAATGACCCCATATCAATGACCATAAAAAGTAACATAGTCATGCCTCCAAAGAAAAGTCCATAAATCCTCAAGTTAGTACTTCCATCGAGCAAAAAATGACCAAGTCCTGGAGAACTGAGAGCCTTTTCATGTAAACAATTGCCCCCATAACTTATCTGGTGAATTCACTCATATTTGCACATATTAGAGGGTATACATGGGCAAGGGAAAGGCAAGAAATCCCCAGATGATGCCGTCTTCACCTGCAAACAACCAGAGAGGTCTACATACGACAAGAAGGCTAGAAAGACCCCTGCCTCAAGCCCAGTATCACTTTTTTTCTTTCTTGGCTGCTCTTCTATTCCATATTTAATTTCAATGCAGCAATATTAGGACATGTCAATTATCAGCTCTATGAATGGCACCATGAGCTCTCCAGAAGAAAGGTCATCCAATAAATTAAAATGTCTGTCATTAAAACAATAACAAACTACCACACAATGTGCAACATTCTAGTTGTACACATGAGAAAATGGAGGCCCAGGAAGAATTTAATTATTGATCTGAGGTTACGGTAATTAGAGGTTGTGGTTAGTGGAAAGAATCCTTTACACCTCCTGATTTCTGTCCTTTTCTCAGAAGACTCCAATTAACCAAATACCATCATACACAGGCCTTTGGGGAGACAGCGATTTGTTCAACAGTGTCCAATGTCCCAGTTCCTTTCCTGTTAAACTTAGCATCTTTAGATCACTAATTAATATGACCTCAAATAACCAGCAAGTTCCTCCTCTCATAGAGCTTCTGAGGGAAGACAGGCATTGACCAACTAAATACGCACTGACTCTCTCATTAGAATTGTGAGAAGTGCATGAGAGAAGACAGCAAACAGCAGGGGCACCTGGTCTCACCAGGGGCTTGTACAAGTCTTCCCGAGGAAGTCCAGACGTGGGGAGTCATCTGGTACCAGAGAGCAGGGGATGGGAAGGAGGAGACAGCCAAGGTCCTGCCGTGGGAAGGAGGATGTGTATTTAAGAGAAAACGTCTGAGGTGAGGCAGCTGAGGGAGGTGGAGGCGTAAGCAGCTCAGGGACAGGATGTGGGGCCGTGTCATCACAACTTACAGTCGTGGGAGACTCTTCACATTTAAATGTGAGGTCTATGGGCCAGCCCCGTGGCTTAGCGGTTAAGTGCACGCGCTCTGCTGCCGTTGGCCCGGGTTCGGATCCCGAGTGCGCACCGACGCACCGCTCCTCCGGCCATGCTGAGGCCGCGTCCCACATACAGCAACTAGAAGGATGTGCAGCTATGACTGACAACTATCTACTGGGGCTTTGGGGGAAAAATAAATAAATAAAATCTTTAAAAAATAATAAAATAAAATAAAAATAAATGTGAGGTCTGTGGGAAAGTGGTACCAAGAGGGAACAGAATCGTGACAAAAGGGGACATGGACAAGCCCACGGGTCAGGATGGCACTCAGAACTCTAAGGCCCAGTGAGCAGAGTCCACTCGGACTGGATGCTGCACCAGGCACTGTGTCTTCAGAGTTGCTGGGTCACGGGGAGGTTCAAGAAACACACAGGACTGGCGGCAGGGTGGGCAGCACCCTCAGGGGTCTTAAGGAGAGCTAGTTGCCAGTCAAAAGCAAAAACTCAATATAGTGAGCCACAAACAGACCCATGCCCATGTCCCCACTGAACCCCAGCCTCCCCAACACCAGAGACAGCTGTTCTGGGAACTCTGCCTTAGTCAGGTCCTCCCTCACTTCAAAGAAATCCAAAGTACAAATCATGCACATGGCCAGCTTCGATGCTGGTCTTGCTGCTCAAGTGCCAGACTCCACAGATAGCATGAAGACAAATGCAATTCAAATGCAACGCTAAAGGCACCCGAAACCAAACACACACAGCGGAGAAGCTGTGCCACCATCCACTGGGGACCAGTGTCCAGGTGTTAATTTGCCTGGGTCACCAGAAGTCCTAAATAGAAAGCAATAGCTACTCCACACTGAGAAGGACACAGATAACCACAGTAAGCGGGAAGCACTTCAAGGACACTGGTAACAAAGAGCCACAGGAGTTCAAGGGAGGAGAGGTCACTACTACAGAGACGCCATGGAAGTCACTACAGGAGACTCGACGCTTCCTCTAAAGAATGCTGGGGTTTCGACAGGTGCTACCAGGAAGAGAGGCTTTAGGAGTGAAGAGAATGGCATGAGAAGGACACACGTGACATTCAAGGAATGGAGTTCACATAGCCTGGCTTGAATGAAGTTTAAGGACACAAGTGACAAAGAAGAGGATGAGACTACACAAGAAGAATCCAGTCAGATTCTGTGATGTGCCTTGGGACTTTAGCCTGATTCTCAACTCTTTATCCACTTAAAAAACAATGCTGTATTTTTTATGCAACAGCTATGACTGAAACTCTTTCCTCTCGCATTTTAGAAAAGCATATTGGGATGCCCAAGTCAGACTGACGCACAGACATGAATATTCTCCCTTGTTTTGCAAAGGCAGTCACACACCAACTTCAATATTTTTGTTTTGAAGCCGACGATAATTGAGATCTTAGTATAAGTTCCGTTATGAATGCCTTATAGGAATTAATGCAGTTAAGCCTCACACCACTCTAGGGGAGACGTGCGACTCTACCATCCCAGAGTCAAGAAGACCGCTACAATCACAATAGTCGGGGAAAAGCATGGGGAGACAGAGAGAGAGAAATTCATTGATTTTAAAACGCAAAGACAGAGGAGCACAAACGTGGTAAATACTGGGATGTGGGGGTGAAGGAGTGCAGAGGTGGAGCCGAAGCCTCCACTGGGACACCTGGAATGAGGGGTAGCACTGCAGTAGACGATGACGTGCCACTCAGGACGGAACGATGGATTCTCCAGGTGACCGAGTACTGCCCTCTCCAGAAACTGCTCAGCTGGAGACAGCCGTCTCGTCCAAGAGCATGCCCCTTCCTGGGAGCGGGGTGCATCCAGCGCCTGGGTGTGGGCGAGTAAAGACCTAGCCCCTCACCGAACAGGAAGACATCTCTCTGAAGGGCCATCCCAGCTTCAGAGGTCCTGTGGGGTCAGCTGAGACCTTATCCGCCACTGCTGGGAGTCCCCTCCAGAAAGTGCCCTCAATAGAAGAAAACTACTGACCAAGGTAACCTGTATTACTGGTCAACGAGGGAGTAGGAAAGCCCTGCTCTCGGAACAGTGCCGGACAACTCTGCGAGGCCGTCCCAGCTCAGAGCTCAGTGGGCCAGCTGAGGCCTCTGCTGATACTGTGCTGAGGCCTGACTTCTCCCTCTGCCCAATCTTGCCTCCTTCTCCTCCCTTCAATGGGTGTTGATCCCAGGAGCACTTCCTAATAAACTTCCCGCACATTCATCTCCATATTGGAGAGTGCTTCCCAGAGAACCCAACCTGTAACACACTGAACCAGCGTGAGCGACACAGGCAGAAAGGGAGGCATGACAGGAAGCAACTGAGTTTTTTGTTTTTTTGTTTTTTTGGTGAGGAAGATTAGCCCTGAGCTAACACCCGCTGACAATCCTCCTCTTTTTGCTGAGAAAGATTGGCCCTGGGCTAACATCCGTGCCCATCTTCCTCTACTTTATATGTGGGATGCCGCCACAGCACGGCTTGATAGGCGGTGCATAGGTCTGTGCCCGAGATCTGAACCTGCGAACCCTGGGCTGCCGAAGCAGAGCACGCGAACTTAAACACTGCGCCCCCGGGCCGGCCCCATGAGTTCTATTTTTGATGTGCTGATTTCAAGTGCCTACGGGACATCCAAAGGGAGACGTCCTACAAGCAGCACAACAGACATATCTTGGGCTCAGAGTGGAATCTGGGTTGACAGTAAACAGAATATGACTGAAACCCAGAAAGCAGATGACACCCAGGAACAGTGTGAGAAGAGAAGACGGAGGAGAGAAGCAGAAGGAAGCAGCCTTGACATGCGGGCAAAGACACCGCATGATGCCATTGCAAACACAGTGAAGCGCATCCCTGGTCTGGGAAGTCAAGACACACTTGCCCTTGAGGGGAGCAGTGATTGGAATGTGGCACAATGAGGGCTTTGGGGTTCTGCTCATGTTTCTGACCTGGGTGCCAGGTACAGGAGTGGTCACTCTGAAAATTCACTGAGCTGTATTCTTATGAATTGTGCACTTCTCTATATAAATGTTACACTTTGACATTTATATTTTATACATAAATACAGGAAAAGGCAAGGGAGCCCATGCAGAAGGCTGAGAGGTAGAGAGAAAAGCAGTAGACTGTAGTGAGAGAGGGCCCAGGGAGAACAGGGCTTGAAGGACACGGTGGGCAGTGGCACCGGGCACCCAGGGAAGTGAGGAAGGAAGGACGAGGAGCCGAGGACACAGTGGAGCGTGTGTCTTCTCACCAGCAGAGAACTGGGAAGCATCATCCACCCACCTAAACCTCAGCCCGGTGTTTATGTGGGCCAGCATCAAGAGTGCTCTCATTCATACTCCCTTGAAAAAAAGTATAGTTTGAATTCACTCACCTTGATCTGACAAAAAATCCAGCATGGTCTGTAACAAGAATGACAAGTGCCTGACAGAAAGAGCAGGATTCCCCATCCTCCGGGAGGCATAGACCAACTCATGAAGCAAACGCATCTGGACGGCGGCCCAGCCTCGGTGCGTGCCTGCGAGGAAAGTCACAAACATCATAACGGGCTCCAGGAGTGGTGCTGGCAATAGAGCAAAAAGTGTGAGCCTCTTTTGGAAACATGTTTAATGTAATGTGTAAAACTCAGTGATTTCAAGACAAATGCCTCAACCAGCAAACTCAAAGGGCAACAAAAACATCTCCCTTGTGCTGTCTTATCCCAGAAAAGAACTCTAAAGTGATGTTTTTCATACATTAAAAAAATGTTTCAGGGGCCAGCCCGGCGGCATAGCAGTTAATTGTGTGCGTTCCACTTCAGCGGCCCAAGGGTTCACAGGTTCAGATCCAGGGCACGCACTGATGCATCGCTTGTCAAGCCATGCTTTGGCGGCGTCCCATATAAAGTAGAGGAAGATGGGCACAGAAGCTCAGGGCTAATTTTCCTCACACACACAAAAAACGTTTCATATTATTCTTTCTCTCTTCTGCAAAGACACAATTTAAAAAATAACCCACTTTGAAATAATTATAATAAGGTTACAACAAAAGATTATGTTTTCAATGGCATATCTTTGAGTTATAGACATTCTTTTTTAAAGAAAATACTGATATTTGACGGGCCTTCATTATCAATAACCAAGGACACTCAATTAAAAAGCACAATATTTCTCTAATGTATAAGAAAAGTGCAGAAAAGCAGATAGCTAAATTAGAAAAAAAGGTTATCGATGGACTTTCGTGGTGGTTCCCTCCAAAATAACTTAGTGTACTTGAAATTAAAGGCGGGGGAAATCGGTTGCACAGCCATTGAAATGTAACCCTTTAGGATCACAGAATTTTAGAGTTATTTATTCCATTTCCCTTTTAACAACAATTACTACTTTTAAATATTTTCCACCTTAAAATCCTTCGTGAAGGAGAAGTGGTAACAGGAATCCAAAACAAAGAAGTTACCACCTGGTATTGTGTGTTCAGGGGCCCTAGTGGCTTGGTAGAAAAGCTGAGGAAAGACATGTAAGACTCCAATCAAAGGCTTCCTCCTCTCATAGCCCTTACTGACCTCCTCTCCCACTGTCCTGCCCTACACAGCTGACCAGTCCCTTTTGTGTATTTCCACCATATTATGCACAAATTTTGACCCCGAGGCGTCACCTGGCGGGTACAGTGAGGCACCTGTAAGCTCGTGCACTTGTTTCTTCCATCCATCCTTAATCTCCTTGGGAGCAAGGATTGTGTCTTATTCACCCAGGTCTCCTTAACGGCTAGCAGGATGCCTGACACACAGTTGGTACTTAACCAGCACGTGGGTCAAGTTGAAAGCCTGATGGCAGAAGGTGCCCCTATTTTTCAGACATGCAAACTTGAGCATGTAGGGTAAAATTACATGACTTCTGGGACTGGCTGTAAAATACCTCAACAAAGAACAAATAAAAGAAAAGGAATGGTATAAACAAAGCAAATGTGGCAAAACCTTGATAACTATTTAATCTGGGTGATGGGCTCACTGTAGTATTCTCTCTAATATGTATATATTTAAATTATTTCATAATAATTTTTTAATTGAAATTCTTGGAGCTGCCCACACCTATACACACAGCCACCACTTTATATCCTAGTAGTCTATCTTACAGAAATCTTTTGGAATGTAAAATGGCGGCCCTTTCCATACAACAGGGAAGGAGAAAAAGACAAGTCTCTTCACTATTTTCACATTGTCAAAAGAAGCTAAGACCAAACACCAAAATGAAATATGAAATTTACAAAAGGATTAAGAAGCTGATATCAGGGGTGTAGCGGTTAGGTGCGTGCGCTCCGCTGCTAGAGGCCTCGGTTCAGATCCCGGGTACACACCGACGCACTGCTTGTCAGGCCATGCTATGGCAGCATCCCACATAAAGTGGAGGAAGATAGGCATGGATGTTAGCTCATGGCCAGTCTTCCTCAGCAAAAAGAGGAGGATTGGCATGGATGTTAGCTCAGGGCTGATCTTCCTCACAAAAAAAAAAAAAAAAAAAAGAAGAAGCAGCAGCTGAAATCAATGCCGTAACTAACCTAGCCATGAATTCAGAATGACCCAAATTAACTAATCTCAACGCTACCATATCAAGAAGGTTTTCTCACTTAAGAATTGGGCAAATATCTCTTTGCTGATTTTTTTGTTTAAATAGATAACGATCCACTTCCTACCACAGGCAATTATAATTAAGACTGAGTATAAATTTTCTTATCACTAAATAGTGTAAAAGTCATAATTTGTACGTGATTCAAATCGCTCCTCCTATAAAATCTGAATTTGTTTATTCTTAAGACAGATTTGCAGCACATGACCCAGTGATAAAATTTTCAACACTCTTGTATTTGAAAAGTTCAGCAATCTGAGAGTTTATTACATCAACTATTGCCTTTGAGCAAATCCATTTGCCTTGCCTGTCTCTTTCATAAGAGTTCCTGGGGAAAATTTAATGCCTCACTCAGAAAAAGGCTGAGCAAAAGATGTGATCAAAAATCTTCATATATAACAACACAAATAAGATTAAATGATAATAAGCAGCCCGTAAGCTGGCAAATATAGCACACATCTGCGTTCCTACCTCAACTTTCTGTAACGAGCTATTGAAAATGTTCATTTCAAGAAATAGGTAGAAATACATTTCAGGTCTTGAGAATACAGACAATTCACCTTTTATTCACAGGTACAGGGTTTAGAAGATTTCCATTTAGTTCTCTGAGGAATGTTTAAAGTGGTCCAGAGCAATAGTGGAGATGGGTTTAAAGTGATTTTTATTTCTTATTAAAAATATAGCCAGCTGACATTTATCATTTTTACGTTATCTGATCTCACTCCCTTACCTTCCTTCCCCAACTTCTTTCACAAAATGATGGCGAATGTCCCCTCCCAAAACAGAAGGCTGAGTAAAAAGTCCCAAATCACTTGGAGTCAGCCCAGGTGGACTGCTTTTACTCTGGAGCCAGCCTGGAGTTATATTCAAAGAATACAAAAAAAGTAACTGGAAAGCAATTTCAATCTTTCCTGAAGGCTCCCAGAAGCATGCTAAATTGGGCATTCACAGCGCACTGGAAACTTTTTAAATGCCCTTTCTTGTCTCTCTATACAGCAATGGTGTCACTGCTCTAAAAACTCTCTTCCCTCTTCCCTAACACCAACCCCCCCCCCCACAATGAAATTTCCCCAGAACACAGCCTAAATGAGCTTGTACACACAACTCTCCCCTTCTCAAGCTTGGAGGTCTCTTCTCATCTCTCTTCCACCAATAACTCTTAGCCTTTCAAATGTAAATCCCACAAGTTTCTGGGGCTTGTCGAGTGATTTTGCCCTTCACTCCAATCACTACTACCAGGGGCCAGGAAAGGGAGCTACCGGGCAACACACACTTCTTCTCAGGGGGGCACGGGCCTGGTAGCACTTGGCAGTTAGTCACTCTGTTCCACCCCTTTCGCACTGGCCCCCGAGGCAGCTCTGGAAGCAGACCTCACCTGACAGTGTTTGCTGAGCACTGTCCCAGCACCTCACAGGGACTGACTCATTCAATCCTCATAACAACATCCCCATGAAACAGATAAAACCAGCATCCCCATTGTACAGATGAGGAAACAGAGACACAGCACACTGAGTGATTGACCCAGGTCACATGGCTAGTCAGTAATGGTGTCCCCTGTCTCAGGAGCTGTACGACCTTAGGAATAACATTTATCTCACCAAGGCTCCGTTCCCTCAAGTGTCACAAGGGGGTCACAGCACCCACTCAGCAAGCTGTGAGAAATGACGTGACACATGTGAAATCATCCACCATGAGGCCACAAGTAGCCTTGGTGCGGATTGGGAAAAGACGGCCCTCTGGGCAAGCACAGCCCCACAGGCACAGGCTTAGCAAGACGTGCTGAGAGAAGTACCTGCATGTGAAACAAAGGTGCCCCTGCATCCAGACTCCCCCCGCCCTGAGCCAGCGCAGACAGCTGGGCAGGCGCAGCAGGCTCTGGGTTTCAGCCCTCACCTCTCCCCATGGTCAGCACCTGTGCGCAGGCCACGACCTCAGGCAGGGACCCTGCCTAGCATAGCACCTGCTCTATGTTTGTTCTTAAAATACTGGGAAATATTGAAGAAAATGTGAACAATCACATTTTGACAACAATCAATTTTTTCTAATGTCCAATAAGGACAATTTTTTTAATAAATAAAAATATCCTTGACTTCAAGACTTTTATTATAAAACTACAAAAATTAAGTCAGTGTGGTATGGGCAAAAGAACAGATCACTAGATCAGTGGAACAGAATAGAGAGCCCAGAAACAGACCCACCTAAACAGAGTCAACTGATCTTTGACAAAGGAGCCAAGGCAACACAATGGAGCAAAGACAGTCTTTTCAACAAATGGTGCTGGAACAACTGGACAGTCACATGCAAAAAATGAATCTAGACACAGACCTTACACCTTTCACAAAAATTAACTCAAAATAGATCACAGACATAAATGTAAAATGCAAACTACAGAACTCCTAGAAGAACACCAAAGGCACAATCCATGAAAGAAAGAATTGATAAAGTGGACTTCATTAAAATTAAAAACTTCTGCTCTGCGAAAGACAACATCAAGAGAATGAGACAAGCCATAGACTGGGAGAAAATATTTGCAAAAGACACATCTGATAAAGGACTGTTATCCAAAATATACAAAAAAATTCTTAAAAATCTAAAATAAGAAAATGAACAACCCAATTAAAAAATGGGGAAAAGATCTGAACAGACACCTCAGCAAAGAAGACACACAGATGACAAATAAGCATATGTAAAGATGCTCAACATGATATGTCATTAGGGAAATGCAAATTAAAACAACAGTGAGATACCACTACACACTTATTAGAATGGCCAAAGTCCAAAACACTGACAATCCCAAATGCTGGCAAGGATATCAAGCAACAGGAACTCTCATTCACTGCTGGTGGGAACGCAGAATGGTTCAGACCCTTTGGAAGACGGTTTGGTGGTCTCTTACAAAACTAAACATACTCTTACC